AGGTAAAATTCTTTTATTGATGTAGCAGTACATAGGCACTATGCGGAAAGTCCTAGTTCGTGAGGCTAGCCACTGTTCTCTGCACAGTTCGTAACTGGCATGAGCCAAGATATCATCATCATCATCAACAGCAGTACATCAGCCATTTGAACTGATGCTTCGCTGCCATACAACCATGAAGACCTATGAAATAAAGAATAAGAAGAGGGAGAAAAACTTTAATGCCCTAAGCAAACATTCAGGGTCAAGGCGCCTACACTTTGTGTAGACAATATTCCGTCACAACAACTGTGAATCACGCAGGTCCGCGGCTGTCACCCATGGTGAAGTGGCACCAGCTGCTGGCATCCTGAAGTCAAGGGGCGGAACCCTGCAAGGGTCTGCTGGGAGGCACACCACTGACGAGACCCAGAAAGTCGAAGCATCGGTGTCTGGTGCTTTTCCAAACTAGCCTAAGCCTATTGATTGGGAGTGACGATGATGAATTAGCTAAAATTCTTTTGTTTCATAATCCGTTTTATTGCATCACTCATGATGTTCCAGTTGAACTACAGTTAGAGCTGACTGATTTGCAGGGGAGGAAAACTTGGATTTTATCACTTAGACCCGATGTTGAATTTCCGGAAATGAAGAAGTTTGGAACAACTTGCGTCTGTGAGCAAACATTCTCAAAAATGAAGTATGTGGAACAAGCACATAGAACGAGGCTGACTGATGAACATTTGACAGCGACTTTGCTGAGTGGATGCAGCCATTCCAAACCAAACATTGATGATATGTTGAAAGTTAAACCTCAGTTTCACAAATTCACCTGTCATTTTGTTGCGGTCTGTGTCATTCAGTTATGTGCACAAAATGTCTGAAGTAACTCTTTTTGCTTGCATCACCCCCATTGATTATTTTTAATTAATAAGAATGTGTTGTGTTTTGTTTCACACCAATCACCCATTTTTAACATAAAAAGCTGAATTTAGTTTATTATTTCATTTGCTCGGAGCCTTCATTTTGGCCTGCGAATTATGTACATAAATCTAATCCGGCCCGCTGTCATCGTGTTGTTGGTTATCTGGCCAGCCGTGAAGATAGTTTGGTGACCCCTGATCCAGTACCCCTGATCGAGTACTTTAGAAACATCTAGGTAGAACACATCAGCGTCTTATCCAGCGTCAGCTGACTCGGTCCAACCACTTCGTGCGATCAGTAATTTCGCTGTGCATGATCGCTGTCGGGAGTAATAATGTTACAGGTTTCCAGATAACACACCAGTGTATCGGCAACAATGGAGTCCATGACTGGGCGGTAGTAGTTTAAAAGTCCAGTCCTACTTCCGCTTTTGTGAATCAGAGTTGTTCTAAGTTCCCACATAGCAAGAATGTTGTTCTGGTCTAAGCAACGCTGGAAAAACTAAGTCAAATGTTCTGCTGGTTGTCTTACTGCTGCACCCAGTGTTTGGACGAATGGTATCCACACCCCGGGGAGCTGTGGTTACACATAAACGTCAGCTTCAGCGATGTGAGTGAATCCTGGAGGCGGGGCGACAAAGACCGGAAGATTACTTGATGGTAAGACTCGAAAAAATGGAGGCACATTGCATCCGCAGTGCGTCTGCTGCTTCTGTAGCTGTTCTTGTTGGTCCATCGGCCGTTCTGTGAAGGATATCCTTGCCCCACCTTTCGTAGGCCATTGACGTACGTGTACAGCAGTTTATAGTTAGCGCTGAAGGTTTTTGCCATACTATGCCGATATGCGGCTTTGTCTTCTTTGAGCAGTTGAGTGCAGTGGTTCCGTTGAACTACGTCGTTGTCTTAAGTTTCTGGTGTTGCAGCTACACTATACGCCCGCCATGCTACGTTGCGTACTGCGATCAATTTTCGAGTTCTGCTGTTAACGAAATAAAAAAAGACTTAGATCCATTGCAAACACTTGTCTCTGAAGCAACGGTAATCAGCCAACTGAATTTGTTGACGAATTCGAGCCAGGCGACTTCCGGGGGTATTTCAGCCAGGAACGACCAGGTTGTGGCGCTGACGAGTTGTGATAATCGATCATAACATGTGATGGTTCGCAGTATCAAATTTTTATTCCGATAATCCGCATAGCAGACGAAGGCATCAGCAGTATGCCGGTACGCAGTATCGACGCTTCGCTGCCGCGCAACCACTACCGGTCGCACGTGGGTTAAGGATACTGCGAGGGTCGCCCTGCCCCTACGCAGACACGAACCCGCGCGGTCAGAATACAAGACAGGCTTGTTACCCTTAGGCTACGGTCCGGCACAGCAGAAGAAGTTGACAATAGTGACTGCGTGATCACTACGACCCAACAGGCAGTCTACAACCAACACATCAATCATATGCTCCTCGTTGGTAAGCACGAGATCCAGCCCCAATGGCCTGTTATCTGTTCTGAACCGAGTAGGCAAAATGACGTGGCTGTAGGGCGGAAAGCTGGTAGCGAGCTTCTGTAGATCGGCTTTGAATTGTTCTCTTATCGTGGCAGGCATTTCTAAACAATGTACGTTGAAATCACCCATGATAAGGATATGAATGTATTTTCCCTTTACGGTGCCTCTTAAAGCATTCGCAAGGTGACAGTTTGTTTCGAGTGTACAGTTAAGGCAGTGAGACAAGCGTCTCTGACTTTTAACTGCAGGCAGCACCATCGGAGTACTACGAGTCTGAATCTTCAATGACATCGCACTGTAAGTCGCTCAGGTAATACAGAATTACCCCTTTTCCTTTTGTGAGCGATATGCCTGGTAACGGAACTTCAGCGTCCGTCGTTCCAGTGTGCAAACATATTTCAGTGACACCGGTGATATCGCATGGCTTGGAAATTTGGCGATCATTCAGTTCGGCCAGCTTAATGAAAAGACCCTGAGCATTCGTATACAAGCAGGCTATTTTCTCGGTCTTCAAGAGCTCAAAGAGGGTTAAAGGGGTCGGGTGTTAGAGAATGCCGGCCGATGTGAGGTCGGCTGTTACTCGTTTTTTGATGAGTTACGGATACCTCGTCTTCAACTTGATTCGGCCAAGGCGCGTCCCAATTGTCGTTTAGGCCTGCGTCAGAGACGAGCGAAGGAGCAGCCAAATGACGTTCCTATCATCACAGGTATATTTGCTGTTTCAGATGTTTTGTTAGCTGGACTTTGCAAGGCTTTTACAGTCTTTAACCGAAGTTCAGGAGGAAGACTTTTCCGATTTCTACACCATCGATTCAAAAGATCCATTGCTGTTTTCTCGAACGGAACCACAAGTATCAGGCTTCTTCCTCTATAATTTGATGAGAGCGATAACGCCATAACGTTATCCAAGGCGTGTCACACGAATGAACCACCAATGTTCTAAATCGTGATTGCCAGCCTCTTGAATATCGTTAGAAGGAAGCTCTGGCATGCCATGCATGAAGATTGTGTTTAAGCGATTTGGCTTACTGTGTCCACCTTCGATCTTTCTCTTCGATTGACGCACGCTCCAAGTCACATCAGGATAGATGCATACCACACAGGATCCGTGTTGTAGCGCATTTGCAGCGGGTAAAACTATTGCTACATCAGTGGAGAATTCTAGTGTTACTCGAATAAGTCTGGGTTCTCAATTGTGTGCAGAAATCTGATGACGGGTTACCCTTATTAAATTTATGGGTTTGCCTTTGACGTTCATCAGAACGCACAATGAGTTCCACTGGCCATGGTCGTCCGACAATTTATCACGCAATATGATGGCGGTAGATTTGGGGACCTTTGAGCACACAACAGTCAGGGCCACTTTGTTAGCTCAATTTTTCTTTGAGTTACAAGGCAATTGAATCATTTGTCCTAACGTGCTGCCAAGTGGTGATTGTCGCTCTACTCACGTTAGCAGTTTGCAACAGAAGAGACCGCAAGGGTGGTCTCCCGGCTGATCTTTACAGCAATCTCTACATGTGTAACTGATATCCCGGGGGACTTCGGCTCGACAAGAGACGTTTGAGCTGCAGGCGCAGAAGGCTGGTTTTAAGGGGCTGCTTCGTCCTTCTTGATGGCAGATGGCAGATCTAGTGGAATTTGCTTAATCAGACATTTCGGGTGGCGCTTTATTTTCAGTGGAATCAGTACTGCTTGACTCTCGTACCTACGGTCGATTTTCGCCTCGTGTGCTGCCAAAGTTAGAGGAGATAATGGCGATGGGGACCTGGCTGATGGTGTTTCAGGGGAATTAAATTGTGCAGCAATCTTTTGCTTAGAGGCCACTACGCTTCCTTCGTATTGACCTGTTTCTGATGAAGTAATCTTATCCTTCATCCGCAGCTCGGCTTCTTGTGTTAGACAGTCGCACTTCTGGACTACGGCAAGCATACACTTAACTAATGGGATGCTCGAACACACAGTACAGAATCAAAGGATGTCTTGGGAGCTATTTCGCTCTCGTACCTGTTGTTGGGATAAATTTACACACTTCGGATGATACCAGTTGAAACGATGCAAGCAGGTTAAATCTAATGTAAATACTCGATGACATCCTGCTAAACCGCAGATAGCTTGTGTCTGCACACACAAAAACCGAGTGAGACAATTTAGCAGTCAGGTTAGCAACGCCAGTTCACGAGCTGGCAACTTAAATGTAAACAACTAAAATGAAGCGAAATAAACGTACAATCAAACCAGTCTGGCGATATCAATCCAGATACTGCTCGGTACCGTGGGAGTGACTTTATAGCCGCCAGGAATGATCTACTAGGGAAGCAGTAACCCATCTGGTTGGCTAACATGCGGGTTCGTTTCACTGAGCTGCTCTCACAGATTGCCAATCAAATGTGGAAGTGGCGAGTAATTAACAAAACGGAAACAATACAGACTGTGTATTGCCTAATTCTAAGGCAAACGATCAATCCTAATGGTGTACACAGTAGAGTGAGTGGAGCAGAAGATGCGAGGGAAATAGTCCGGATCGGCTTGAAAAACATTATTAACCAATATAAGCTGACCGAAAAGCATGATCGCAGTGTGACAGGAGACTCACTTCAGGTGTGTCCAAATTCGTTCGGATAACGGGATCGAGGAGTGCACCGGGTAAGGTGGCCGACACGTCCTCCGAAACTGCAGCACTGATCTCGTTGCAAGAGAAACCGTTCTTTTTGCCATTCAGATAATTGTTAGACTTCTCCGAATGAACACTTGAAAAGATTGAACCCGACAAGAAAAAGCACAAGAAGCAAGGGTGAGTTCGGAGTAAAACTGCTGCGCAATCAGAACGGGAAAACTCGAAATCGTTGTGATGTTGTTGTTTGATTAGTGTGAACCCGAGGAAAGTCGTGATTGCTTCTGTAATGAGGCGACTAACCAGAGTGGACAGAGTAATGTCGAAGATCTAACCAGGCAGCCTATTATCGATAAATAGTTAACGAAAGAAATGTTGTGATGTATCGGTGACATTCTTTTGTCGCCAACATGATCCTCCAAGCTCTCGGTTACTGTGTCACGCTAGAATGGTGAAAGATTCGGGCGCATGCAAGTCGTTAATTCTACCTGCAAGATAAGGAATGTGAGGAGATTTACTGGATTTCACCTGTTCTCCGAGTTTCGTAATTGGTTTGCGACGTTTCATCACCAAACGAGGCGACTTCCACAGTGCCCTATTGCAGTCCGCGGATTTGATCGTCGCTCAACGATGCATCATCTGCATTATCAATACACGCTAGCCAGAGTGCAAAGCACACCTCAGCTAATGTGCATTGAGATGGTTGTTGGAGGGGGAGGCTAAAGAGGAAGGGATTGACAAACAGACTCACAACACAAACACCATTGAGGTCGGTTCCTAGCCATGTCAGCTAGTTTATCCAACCAAACATGTTCATTGTCCTTCGGACCCCAGTCAGGCAGTCGGAATGCACACACCGACGCCAACTTCGAAGTGAGAGCCATCATTCCTCTTGACCAAATCATCGCTTGACCGCCCCTCCTCTTCCATCCACACTCCCGGAGAGCAAACAACGAACGTCGCGGGAATCGGTGTGCTGGCATGCGTAACACATGGCTCAGCCTGGTGCGGGGTATAAGGGTGTTGGACGCCGAACACGCTCGTTGCTCACGCAGTGTTCCCACCAGACACCAGCTAAACTGCAAAAACAGCGAAGGTCGAACGCAACAAGCCTCCTTATGTTTGTTGACTTGTTGGACCAAGTTTCGCAACTGTAAGGTAGGGTTGAACAGACGGATGCATTGTAAACTCTGTCTTTCAGAGTGAGAGTGATGTCACGCCAGCGCTACAGGTGGCGGAGATTGGTAAAAGCGCCTCGAGCTTTCGCTATACGGTACGTGTCCTCAGCTTCAATCCAGAAGACGCTAATAGCTGCCCAGATACTTGAATTTCTCGATGAGTTCTAACTGATCACCACCAGGAGTCGGCGCAAGAGTGGGTCCCTGCTAATCTTGGAGGACTTTGCATTTCGAAGGTGCAAAGCATAGCCCGAAACGACTGACAGCCAGAGCTAATTTATACAGTGCGACTTGGCACGTTCGGGAGCTGTCACAGATGAGCGCAATATCGTCGACATACTCCAACTCAAGAAGTCAGTCATCTGGGAGCGGCTCCATACCTTTTATGTTGTGCCCCACGAACGCCAAATCCATGACTTCGTCAATGGTGAAGTTGAAGAGGAAAGCTGACAGCAGGTAACCATGTTTCACACTGTTGGAATTAATGAAGGGCAGTGAAATTTTGCCCTAAACTTTCACTCTGCCCGAACTAGGCGCGAACAGCACTCTACTGACATTTATAGATTTATCGGGTACACCTTTCGTCATTAGACAGTCCAAAAGGACACATCGGCCAATCGAATCGAAGGCCCCTTTGATGTCGAGGAACACGACTACGGGGGGTCGCCAATAGACATGGCAGTGCACTAACAATTGACACATGAAGATGTGGTCAATGCAGCCTCGATTTCGACGAAACCGGGCCTGTTCCTTGCGAATCTGACTTTCACAGGTGAACGGCGACCACATGGTCAAGTGATTAATTCTAACAATACATGCGTGCCATTTCGAGTCACATAACCAGCTGGCCGCTGTCTCCTCTTCGACAGATTCCCATTGACGTATACGAGAACTAATGGTGAAGTAACAGAAAATAACTTCTCAACCTCAAGTTCAACGCCTACGTAACGTGGTGACACTGATTTGCAACATCATCTATCTTTCGACGCAATTCTTCCTTCCGCCTGGCAGCGTTCAATGTTCGGACCCCCCTTTAGATTGGACAACTGCCTAGCTTGGCGTGCACTCTAGAGTCCATCGATGATTGTTGCCTTTTCGGGACTCGATTGCAGGATCTCAGCACCGTTGTCCCTGGCTGTTCTTGAAACCACATGTTAACTACGTCTGTCTGGTGATATGGAAGCAGCAGCAACCAGCTTAGGTGGTGTTGGTATCTCAATGAATGCCAAAGCGGAGGTTGAAGTACTCGATTAGTTCCCCATCGACAGCCGACGGTGTGCGGCTCGGCTTCAAGACTCATGTAGAAGCAACAGACATCGTGAAGAGAGGTGCAATTTGTTCGTCATTTCTGCCTACATTCCAACCGACTGCAGCTGTGCATCGGTTAAGGATGACTTCTATCGTGGACTCCACAACCTTTTGAACAAGGCCGAAAAGTCAGATGTCATCGTCCTTGCCGGATATCTCAATGAACGAGTAGGTCGCCTGCTTCCGTGAGAACGTCGTCTTGGTGGCACTCACGCGCTTGATGAGTGTCGTTCTGACAATGGTGATCAACTTCTAAAGTTGTGCGACGACCACCAGCTCTTTCTCTCAAGTGAGAACGTTAGGCATATCAGAGGACTTGTAGCCACCTGGCATCCTCCTTCGCCAATGCAAGGTGGTCACAAATAGATCACATTGCAATCAGCTTCAGGTGGCGAGGCAGCGTCCGGGGTTTTGGATGGATTTGGTCTACGTGCCTCGGTTCAGATAATGCTTTGGTCTGCGCGGACATCTGCATGCGCTTCGGCAGTTCCTCAAAACGTAAGCATCATACGCTCGACACCAGCAGCCTAGCTGACTTCTCTATTCGATCAGGTTATCCAGCGTTCTTGTTGCATGCATTCAGTAGTAATCCACTTCGAGACATCGAAAATCATTCGAGTTTCCTGCGAAACCACAAGGCACCTTCTGAGGGGCTGGATTTCCGCTCACTCACTGGAATTGTTCGATCCTTGTAGAGCTATCTCGACCGAGTCAAATAGCAATGCACTGCGTCGCATCCCCAGCCAACAATTTTAGCGAAGCCTGTGAGCTGATTGCAAAACTTGTTGGTCCCACCGCACCTCAGAGATGGAAACGGCAGTCCTCTCTGGAAACTTTCGCAAGTTCTTCCAGGTTATTCAAACCACTGGTCACAAAAGACCTGGTGTCAGTGAGGTTATTTGCGACGTTGAGAGAACACCGATCACCAACTTACACAGGCGCATGGACCGGAGGGCAGGACACTTCCGCACTCAATTCAGCTGGCCTCCTCCGCCGGCGAGTCTAACGAGTATACCAAGTTGCGCGCTTTGGAACGTCTCACTGGAACCACCCACAGAAGTTGATGACTGCCTTGAGCTCCGACACTTGAAGTGATTCAAGTCTGCTGGCTCAGACGGACTTCCTCCGGAGTTATACCAATTCAGTGGCGAAGCAACTGCCCACCAGCTAACTGATCTGTTCTCTGATGTGAAGAAACAGTTCCATCAGATGGGGGCGAGTCAATTATCGTCTCGATCTTCAAGAAAGGTGTGCATACCCTATGCGTTAACCACCGAGGAATCAGTCTAATGTCCGTTGCCTCCAAGCTAACATCCATCCTACTCCGCAGACTAACCCCGATCCGAGAATTGGAACCGTGAAGAACAGGCTGGTTTCCGTCCCAACTGAGAGTCTATAGTCCACTAATATACACTCCACTTACTCTTTGAAACACGTCATCTTTACCGCCAACCTATATCCAAGCCGCTTTCGACTCCGTCGATCGGCCAGTTTTATGGCGTTGTTTACAAAAAATAGTATGCCTGAAAAATATATCACCATACTTCGAGCATTATATTTCAACGTCTCAGGTAAGGTGAAGGCTTACGGCAAGCTCACTTCACTTTTTGCCGTCACTAGCGGTGTACGACAGGGTTACCCCATGTCCCCATTTCGCCTCTGTTGGTTGGTGATCGGAGACTCATCCATCTCGCAAATGATCTCACTCACACCAGGCCTCCTGGGACCAGTGGACCGAATGAGTTGGAAAAGCTTGCGAGCCTTGTCAGAGAGAGAAGCGGTCTCCACCTCTAAAGAACGCTAGAACTACCATGTCCCGCGTTCCTTGCGTAGGATTTGCTTGAGCGGCCGGTTGGCAGAACGGCGCCGCTCGTTGCAATCTGATTCCGCGGGGATATTTCTGCGGCGTTCGAACAGCTCCAGAGAACGTGCAGAGAACCAAGCCTTTAGGGGGCGTCGAGCTAGGCCGCAGCTTGACTGCCCGGAAATGGTCATCGCTTTCCGTATACTAGTACAGTGCTGCTCCACATCTTGCGGTGGATTGCGACTGAGTGCATATACCAGTGAAGACTGGTAGCTCGCCTGGGAAGAAGAATCAGTTAATCTGTTTACATCAATCTTCCGGTTCTTCGAGTTTCGCGACCCCCCAAAACACATACAGAATTTCGCGCAGACCAGTGCATGATCTAATTCAACGAAGGTGGCGTAAAACGACTTGCAGTCCAGTATGCTGACGCGCTATCTGAAGCTAATTGCAATGTGATCAATTTGAGACCACGGTTGTGTTGGCGAAGGGGGACGCCACGTTGCGGAATGCTACTTCGCACGCCTGAAGTTAGTGCTCGAGAGCAACAGATGGTGGTCTTCGCACAATGTGAGAAGCCGTTCGACGTTATCAGAGCGGTTCTCATCGAGCGCGTGATGACCACTAAGGTGGCATTCCTATGGTAACAAGCGGCCAACGTGTGCATTAAAATCCCCAGTAAGGACAACGATATCTGACTTTTTAGCATTAGTCAAGAGCTGATGAAGATCCAGGTAGAGTTCGTCCTTGACGGAGTCGCCACTGCAATCAGTTGGAGCGTACACGGAGATCACAAACAAGTTGTCTCTCTTCGCGGTGCTTGTTGATTCTACATGAACCCCGGAGCCGAACTGCACACAGTCGGCTGTTAATCGGGAACCAGTCCAGTAGTGTCGCCTCGGCCTTGCCACTTAGTGCTATACCTACACCAGCCAAAGCGGCTGAGGCTACTTCTGGATCTCCAGAAAGACGCAGGTGATATCTGGCTTTGTGGTCAGTGGGGGATGTCAATGTAACCACAGTGCTGGGATCTTGCAATCGGGTTTCTGAAAGGCAGCAGACATCAATGTCTAGGGAATCTAGTGTGCGCTCTAGACCGGCTTGCTGTCCAATCTGCATTAGTGTTCGAACGTTGAAGCACGCCAGACGGAACGAGGATCGGGGACGAAGGAGAGTCATTGGTTGGACTCCTTGGTCCGCACCGCAACCGGAATCGCAGCTAGATTGTTGAGCACATGAATCGAGTAACGGAAAGTGAGGATTATGAGCAAACAAACAATTGACATGTAATGAAGACGCGTGAATATGGGAAGCAGAAACAGTAGCTGATGAGCACGTTGTAGTACAGTCCATGGTTTTGTGAGAGGGCGTGATACTGCCCGGTTGCCCAAGCCGAAGTAGGTAGTTGACTTAGGGGACTCCACCCCGAGCCTTGGGCTAAATAACCTACCCGCAATGCAGCGTGGCGAATTTAGGGAAACGCGCCCATTGGGAGGCGCTGACTGAATGTTCAGTTCATGGGTCTTTGTTTGGGAGATCACCAAACAGAGGCCCAATACTCTCCATGAAATCAACACAATCGCTAGAATACAATGCCCCACGAGGTGGAACATTGTCGCCGAACACTTCGCTGGAACGGGGTATACTCGAACCACCCAGCTGGCACCACGAGGAGGTAGTTCAGCCTTCCACCCACTGAGTTATCACCAAATTCAGATGAGTTGGGAAAATAGCGGAAAAATTAGAAGAGTTCCGGTAATATCCTGCTCATGGGCACTTTCCACCCGCCGGCGAACCCACTCGATTATGAGACTAATGTTCGGGTGCCCGGTATAATGCGGCTGACTCCTTCGTGCAATCAAATTCCGCGATTCCAACGGACCGGACAAGGCTTCGGAAATTAAGCTCGTGCTGGAACCTCTACGATAGATAATGGAGAAAAGGCACAGAAAAGGTGAATCAACAATGCTGACAAGAATTTATCAGGTGCCTATACAAAGTGGTTATTGATTGATGGATTCCGGCTTGTGTTGGTCAACAAGGTACAAGGGTTTGGGCTACTAACCTGCAGCATACGATACTCGCTGAATACGATCATCCTAAAGGCGATCAAAAGTTTCGAAAACCGAGACCTCTAAGAAAATCGAAGCGTATTAATCAGAGGAGATCAAGCAACGTTGATACCAATACGGTGGATAAAATGGACTCACGGATTCATTCGACCCTCTGCAGACAGTTTGCTGAGTTTTCGTCGAACCTCTTCGGCAAGCTCGTCCGGTCGGGCAAGTTGGGGCACTGTGGACGGTTGGGGAAAAAACGAAAAAATGGTCAAAGATGAGTGACAAAAATTCAACACTGCAACACACGCATCAATCGGTGAAAGATATAACAACAGAATGGAACAAGGGAGTACCTTTTGAATAGTAAGCCTAAGACCATCAGTTAGACGCTGGGTTTCCGACTGTGGATCGGTGTGTGACGCAAGGAAAGTATCAAATAAAGTCAGCACTATGCCTCAGAACGGGTGTCACAATTTGGAGGGGGGGGGCAGAGCAGAAGTACTAAATCAGGCCACAACAAATGGTATGAGAAAATGCATAGAAAGGTGCAACAGATGAACTCTATGACAAACCAAAGTAAGACCAAGATAAACCTTATGCACCTATGTGGGAGCATTTACAAAAATTCACATTAACTGCGAACATGGTACAACATAGCACCAGCAGAGAACGATGCAAAGTGACAATGAGAACAGAAGAGTACATCTTCAATCAAGTGAAGTGTCTCGCGATTGGTCCGCCATTGCTTTTGGGTCGACTAACAAGCTAGACAGTGCAAGATAGAATTACAATCAGATGGAGTTGGAAAATATAAGGTTTTAATATTCGACCGCATGGAAAAAGTATATACGGTACTGGCTAGAGCTGCAAAAGCTCGAGGTGCTTTTGCCAATCTCCGCCACCTGTGGCGCAGACGCGACATTACTCTCGGCCTCAAGGACAGAGTTTACAACGCAGCCGTCCGTTCAACTCTCTTATATGGCTGTGAAACCTGGCCCATCAGGTCGACAGACATGAAGAGACTCGTCACGTTCGATCATCGCTGCCTTCGCAGCTTAGCTCATGTCTGGTGGGAACACCGCGTGAGCAATGAGCGTGTTCGACGTCGCGTATTTGGTGCAGGAAGAGCGAGTGAACCGCTCAGCACGATTATATCACGCACCAGGCTCCGATGGCTGGGCCACGTGTTGCGCATGCAAGCACACCGACTCCCGCGACGTGCATTGTTTGCGCGTTGTGGGTGCGGTTGGAAGAGGAGGAGGGGAGGCCAAGTGATGACTTGGTCGAGAGAAATGAAAACCCTCACTTCGAAGTTGGCGTCGATTGGTGCATCCCGACTGCCTGGCTGGGGTCCTAAGGACGGTGAACACGTTTGGCTGGACACACTTGCTGATATGGCTAGGAGCCGGCCCCAATGGCGTTTGTGTTGTGAGTTCCTTTGTCCATCCCCCTCCTGTTTAGCATCCCCCTCCAATCACGATCTCAATCGTTAGGCATAATATGACTTTCTTTTACGGCAGCCAGCTGTTAGCTCTCCGGAACGATGTCCATCCGTTACTGGGGACTCAGCGGGCGTGCCACTGTTTGTTTGTTGTTTTTTTTCTTTTCCTGCCTTTTGTATTGCGGCACAATAGCTGAGGTGTTTTCCACCTCCAGCTAACGTGTAATGATGATGATGATGCGTGTAGGGCCGTTAAGAAACATGGGTGGAAAGCTGAGATATAAGTCGAAATGTTTTCTAACGATAAAATAAACAAGTGATTCTTTCTTTAATCCACAGAATCGGCTAATAAACTTCAGTGTGCGCACAAGAAGAAATCCGGGAAAATAACAGAGGAACAGTACAACCAATGGGGGAGAACACATGCGTTTACAAACATTATAATTAGAGTACAGGGTAAGCAGCACATTTTGATCCAGACTCTGAAGAGCCAAAAGAATATGTGTTGATCAGGTAAGTTGTAAAATTAAAAAACATCGGAACAAGGGATACTCTGATCACCCACGACCAAAGGAGAGTTATATGTAAAGGAACGCAGGTCGTCAGGGCGAGGAGAAGAGAACGTGGTATCACAACATCTGAAAGGGTTAAATGATGAGGACCTGGATCTTGACGATGTCAAGAGTTCATCTAATCCTCATTGGAGTTTCGAAGACCTCTCAATTACTGGGCTATGCACTCCGAGATGATACGGTTTGGACAGACATTCAACATAGATGGAAATTAGAGGGTGGGAGATGAAACAGCTCCACTGTTTACTGGAAGCGTAGAACACCCCCTACTCAATGGCTGCGTGAAGTGTGTACAACTTGTGAAATAGGCACGCATCACGTTACATACATTTGGGGGAACGCCATTTGAGGCTCCAAAAGGAAGTGGCATAATGGAGGAACAGGAGCCGTACGCGGTGTTGCATGTTCTAGCCAAGGCAGGTACGATGAATTGCACAGGATACGAAACGGTATCCAGTGTGGAACATACTGGTTCATAGACAAATTGTGGTACTACCTATGTGATCGCTTACGCAAATGTGGCGAAGTAAGTCGTTGTTTTAAGCACGGAGGTGCACGCTATCGGCTGATACTTCTGTGATTCCTTCTTAGGCACTTGTGCTATTATGGCTGGTTTCCGGATCTTGGGAATGGTATCCGTCGTTAAGCATCGGTTAAAAATCTCCATGCACACTCTTTCAGACCGATCGGTGACAGGGCGTCAGAGCCAGTAGCCTTTTTCGGCTTCAGTCTTGTGAATTCCATATAAACGCTGGTGCGGTCAAATGAGGTAGGAGAAACAATGTTGGAAAGGAAGATAGAGGCAATGTGTCAGATGATGAGGAGCTGAACTTTGCGTTGAGACTGTTCTCATCCACAGTACCGAGCGAGCTAGTGGAATTTTGTCCGCAATCGCTTCGAGAGTATCCACAGATCACGGCAACTGCGGTTTCCTAAAAACGGTCACAATGTACATGCTGTTTAACTTTTTTATCAGTTTTTATAACGCACAATAGGTTTCTGATTTACAGGAGACGAAGGAATCCGTACTGGTGCATTATCTACAAAGGATCCGGTTTTCCGGATTTCAGATGGGCAATTCCGTTTTGAGAATGAAGTCAGTTAGATACTAAACAACCATAGGTGAGGTGCTGGTTCCACTCTGTTGGAAAATCGACTAGTCTGGTACCGATGGTGGATGTGAACCAGTTACCATGTTTAAAGGTATGTGAGCAGGCACACCCAATAACCTTAATGATAAGGGGAATAAACACATTGGACGCCAGAGTAACGAAATGAAGTGCGGTGTAGTTGTCATGAAAATGAGGATTACGCATCTTACGAGGTATGCCATCTGATGATTGTCGTGTATTCGAGTACCGGTCTTTGAAAGCCAGACCATGTGCTTGTCCAAGGGAAAATTGATTCTCATCCAAAGTAGCGCTTGAGTCCACAGCGTTTGATGAATGCGATTTAAGATAGTGAGGGTTACCTTGCCTGCGCTTCAAGCGTTCCTCGCGCATCTAAATGAAATACAGAAGAGGGGAATGCTAGGGAATAGTTGGTAAGCTGTTGGAATTTAATGTACGTGTTTTTCCACATACCGTTTTGTCTTTTTTGTCAGCTTAGTGAGTACGGCATTGATAAGTAGAACCGACCCATAGATTCACACAAGTCTTTTGTTGTTACCGATTTCGCGCCATGTCCACAAGAGTCTCCAACCAGTAGCGCTCTTCATCTCCTATTCCCCATCTACGAACACACACGGCAGAGACAACAGAGAGACTGGGAGTCAGCGCTTTGACGTTTTGTCACCATTTAGTAGGTTGACCACCGCGCGATTTCTTCCAGTGCGACCCTGCGCGAACGAATAGTGCGCGTCGTGGTAAACACTCGCACGGTATGCGTAAGACGTGGCCTAGCCATCTCAGTTGGCGCAGCGGTATTAGCTTGTTGAGGGAAACCCGTATAACCTAATAAGCGATGGCTAACATAGTTGTTGCGAACGTGGTGTTCCCAGTATGGCTCGTTGGGCTGAACACTTTGAAGATCAGTTCAGCTGGCCCCCTGCTCCCGGATCTCTTCCTACTCAGGTGATGCAGGACGTGCCATGGACGGTTAGCTTAGAGCCTCCGTCGGAGGCCGAGGTCCGAAACGCGATCACAACCCTCAATGGTTTTCGTGCCGCTGGCCCGGATTCCCTCCCACCTGCACTATTTAAGGATGGAGGTGAGGTCCTCTGCAGGGCACTGACCTCCCTATTCGAACGTATCTGGAACGAAGTGTCCCGGCTAATTGGAGCGAATCGATTATAGTGGCAATATACAAAAAGGGCAGTCGCACAGACTGTTCTAACCACAGGGGTATTAGCCTAACGCCAGTTGTGACAAAATTACTGACCTCGATTATCGTTCGTCGCCTCACTGCAGAACGGGAATCTCGGATTAGGGAAGAGCAGGCCGGTTTCCGCCCAGGACGTGGCTGTATAGACCATATATTTACTTTGCGGCAGGTGCTAGAGCAGCGCCACGCATACCGCAGACCGACAATAGCTGTGTTCATCGACTTCAAGAGTGCGTTCCATTCAGTCGATCGATCGATTCTGTTCGAAATACTTGCGCGGAAAGGTGTTCCCACGAAATATGTGAACATCCTTCGTTCTCTATACTCGAACACTACAGGCCGCGTCAGGGTATATGGTGCCCTATCGGATAGCTTTTCGACTACAAGTGGCGTTCGTCAGAGTTGTCCGATTTCCCCGCTTTTATTCAACATCGTCGTGGATTCTATCATGGAGTGTTCCCTTGCGGTATCCAACGATGTAGGCGTTGAAGTGCGGCCTGGTGAAAGGTTAGTTGACTTAGATTATGCGGACGATATCGTCTTGCTTTTCGACAATGTTGAGGCGGCACAGTCAACCCTGAATAGCCTTTCCAAAGTGGTCATATTATTTGGTATGCATTTAGCACCTTCAAAGTGCAAAGTGTTGCTGCAGGACCACCAGCCACTTGATGACCCCTTGACGCTTGCTAACGAGGAACTCGAGGTGGTTGATCACTTCACTTATCTTGGTAGCTGCATCAGCAATGATGGGCGCATAGAAACTGACGTGAGCTCACGCATTGCAAAGGCCAGAGCTGCCTTCTTGAACTTGCGGCATCTTTGGCGACAGAAGGGAGTTTCCATCCGTCTGAAAGGCCGGGTATACAAGGCCACAGTGAGGGCCGTTCTGCTCTACGGTAGTGCAACTTGGCCGCTTCGGTCTGAAGATCTGAGGCGCCTTCAAGTCTTTGATCATCGTTGTTTGCGAAGCATTGCTGGTGTCGGATGGCACCAGCGCTTCCGCAACGATGATGTGCGTAGGCGTGTACTAGGTGGTGATAATCATGCTAGCTCCCTAGAACAACAGATAGCACTGAATAAGTCGCGTCGGCTCGGGCACGTGCTACGCATGCCTGGTCACGGCTTACCTAGGAGGGGCTTGTTCAGTCTACCAGGTGTAGGATGGCGCAAGGCTCGAGGTGGACAGAAGTTGACTTGGCAGCGAGAAATGAAGTCACTGACAACTAAACTGGGTGCCGTTGGTCCGTCTCGCCTTCCAGGCTGGAGTCCACGTGACTCACCTTGTGCTTGGCTTGAGACTTTACAGGACATAGCTCGCAACCGACACCAGTGGCGCGTCTGCTGCCGTCTCCTAATCGGATTGTCTGTTTAAAGTGTGTTTGGTGCTGAGTTATCTGCGGGGTAATGGCTGATTATGACGCGGGGCAGTGAAAGCCGCAAGGAAGCTGTCTCGCCGATGCCGCACGATCGCCAGCTGTTTGTGACGGAATGTTGTCTACACAAGGTGTAGGCGCCTTGACCCTGAATGTTTGCTTAGGGCATTAAGGTTTTCAGGTAGGTCCTTCTCTCCCTCTTCTTATTCTTTATTTCATAGGACCTCATGGTTGTATGGCAGCGAAGCATCAGTTCAAATGGCTGATGTACTGCTGTTGATGATGATGATGGTGTTCCCAGCACGTACACACAGACAATCGTTGTCAAAGGCCGAAATCCGACGCAAATCATTTGCACGGATCGACCTGGACTCGCTTTTGTATAACAGGATCACGCGAACACATGCATTGTAGACTCTGCCCTTTATCAATTATGACACGTCACGACGACGCGACAGATGCCTCAGACCAGTGCAAGTTGATCGGGCTTTGGCAATACGGAGGAAAATCTCTCTTCCAATAGTGCCATCAGAGAAAAGGCAACTCCCAAGGTAGATGAAACTATCTACTTGTTCAAGCTGCACGCCTTCAAGAATCAGCACAGGGGCAGGTGGTATTTTACCCTGGAGTAGAAGCTTGCATACCGATACGGCGAAGGTCATGCCATACTTATCAGCTTGGTAGTATCATCTGCAAAACCTGTGCGTCATCGCCAAGGGCAATATCATCAGCATAATCCAAGTAAGTCGCGCGGTTGCCTGGAATAAGCTCCACACCAGAGCGCTCAATAGGACATTTTCAATCGCAAATTTAAAGAGAAACGCGGACATATGGCATCCCTATAGAACAGTGCTAGTAACGACGGAAGGTCAAAAGAGCTTAACGTAAGCCCTCATTCTGTCTGAGACATTGTCGTACAAAGCTCGAAGGATGGCGGTATACTTTTCGGGTACCCCATACTATTGCAGACAACGCCATAAAGCAGGCCGATCGTCTGAGCCGAACGCAACTCGGACAATGGTAGGTTGGCGATAAAGGTGATGCTGCTTGAGAATCTGGCGGAGCGTAAACATGTGGTTCACACACCCACGACCACCAGGGCGAAAATCGGCCTGTTTTTCAAGAGAGTGTAGTTCTCGAATCGATGTTAACCTGCGAGGTCGAATGGATGTTAGCAATCTGGAGGTGACGCAGGTTGGGATGATTCCAATGTGGTTGGCGCGTAGGGTACCGGCACGCTTTTAAAGAACGGTGCGATGATCGATTTGCTCCAAGAGAATGGAACCGTCTCTTCACACAAAATCTTAGAAAACAGCTGTTAACTGGTTGACAATTGCCTCACCACCGTGCTCGAACAGCTCCGGAGGCAGTGCGTCGGAATCTTCAATTGATGAAGATCAGGATAGACCCCAACTTCGGTTGGTGGTTCCAGTGAAACGTTCCAAGGCGCACAATTAGGCATACTTGTTAGACAGCCGGAAAGAGGAAACCAATTGAAATGAGTGGAAATTCTTGGCCCAGCGGTCCATGTGCTTACGCAAATGGGTGATTGGTAATCTATCAACATCTCAAGTAGCATCACTGACGTTAGGTCTTCTGTGGCCAGTAGTTCAAACGATCTGGAAAAGCGTGCAAAAATTTCTAGAGAGAGCTACTGTCTTTATGTCTGAAGCACGTGAGACTACCAAGTTTCGCAATCGTACGCAAGCTCTGCTTGATTTGTTGGCTGAGGTTGCAGTGGACTTCATCGCAATGTGAATCAGCTGGAACATCTCAGCGAAGACCAAAGGATCCCAAAGAGCGAGCAGAAATTCAGCTTCTCAGAAGACGCCCAGTCATACCACAGTACGATCGACCAGAAGAAAGCAACGTCTTCTGCAAGAGATTCCAGTGATGTTCCACATCTAGAGGTGGATCACTAGCGAACGTATCTGATAAGGAGGATTGATAAGCTATTTGAATGGAGGGGTTAGCTAGGCTGTTGATATCCAGCACACGGTGCTTTGGTTTCGAGGATCCCCTATGTAAACGTCCCCACAGACCAGAGCGTGATCTAAGTATAGGTAGGTGGAGCAAATTGATTTGTAATACCACACACTGCCTCACCATCTGAAGCTGGGTGAAATGTGATCACAAATAAGTAGACGAATTTGGGCATGATTCGATTTGATTCATCGCAATTGGATTCCAAGCCGCATACGTAAGCTAGCAATCCGGAAAAACACTAGACGTGCGTTTCGCCATATTGAGGCACGTCAGTGGTGTGCATCCATCGGTCCCCTACCAGATATCCAATCCATGACCGCTAGAGGTTAACACCAACTAGCCAGCAGAGCTTATGCCACTGAGCCTAAATGCGATATAGCCCGACCCATCCCCCACCGTTGTGCAGGTTATCGCCCGTGCAGAGGACAGTGGTTGGCCGTCACGGTCAGGTCTTCCCTTGAAATGTGATTAATTTGTGATCACACTTGTGTTGGCGAAGGGGAACGCCAAGTGGCGGCGCGTCTCCTCGAATGCCTGAAGTTCGTGCTCGCAAGAAAGAGGCGGTTGTCCTCACATAACATGAGAAACCTATCTCCGTTATCAGAGCGATTCTGATCAAGAGCATGACGGTCACCATGCTTTGAAGTCTCAGGCAAGGAAAACGAGACCGGATTTTTCGGCTTTATTTAAAAGCTGGTGGAGTCAGCAACAAATGTCGTCCTTAACCGATGCACAACTGCAGTCAGTTGGAGGGCAGACGGAGATCACAAAGAAATTGTGTCTTTCTGTACGGTGCCTGTTGCTTCCATATGAACCTTGGAGCCGAACAGCACACAATCGGGAGCCAATCGAGCAGCGAATCTCCAGTCTTGTCACTCAATGCGATGTCAACACCAGGCACGTTTACTGCTTCTGTGTCATAAGGCATATGAAAGAAATACTTGGTTCCGACATCAGTAGGGGACGTTAATTACGGTGCTGGAATCCTCTAGTCGAGTCTTCGGAAGGAAACAGACATCCACAGAGAAGGAGTCCAGGATGCGCGCTACGCCAGCCTGTTGTCCGACCTGTATAGGGCTGCCAGTCGAAATGCAAATCGAGGTCAAAGGAGAGCTACTGGTCGGACTCTGGACATAAGCGAGACTGTTATCGGAAGTAGATTCAGAGCAATGATTGACGAAGGTAAGAGTAGTGTGTGATGGTGGTGCATAAGCTAAGAAGTGTGAAAGAGCAGAAGAGAAGGACGTAGTTACGAAATTTATGGTGACTAGACAGGAGTGAAACCTGACGAGTTTGACATAAGTAGGTCAAACGACTACGGACGGTTGAACCATGGAGAGATAAACTGCCCATCGGATTGGAACTTGAGCTTCACTCGTACATGAGCTCATGGTATGTGCCACAAAAGATCAAACGGTGCCTTGATTACACACGAGAAGCAGCTGACGTACGCGTGTGATAAGAAAGACAATAAAATATAATTGAAAGCACACACGATGACTATCACAAAAATATACATATTCAAACAGACGGACAAAAAGAGCGATATGAGTGCCGAAACCAACTAGAAAAAGAAGCATGCAAAATTCACAAATGACCTATCAGTTCAACTTAGTTGGGTGAAGGTATAGAAAAATATAAAGAAAATGGAGCCAGGAAAAAAGGTGCATTGATAAGCACGGTTAACATCAAAAGCAAAAGTGACATTGACTTCGCGGTCGCATTGTATCGGATTCGATGTCTAACTTGCGATACAGCATGTCCCTAGATTTTCATCCAAACGGATGGTACGTGTTAGCCCGAATATCAACGTCATCAATACCAGTAGTACATCAGCCATTTGAACTGATGCTCCGCTGCCATACAACCATGATGACCTATCGTTTAAAAATAATGAGAGGGAGAGAAGGTGCTTACCGGAAAAAACGTAGCACCGTAAGCAAACATTCAGGGACAAGGCACTTGCACCTTGTGTTAAAAACACCGTCACAAGCAGCTGGCTATCATGGAAAGAAAAGGCGGCATCAGCGAGACAGCTTCCTTGCGGCTTTCCCTGCCCCGCGTCATAATAAGCCATTACCACACAGATAACTCCGCACCAAACACACTTGAAACAGGCAGTCCATTCAGGAGACGGCAGCAGAAGCGCCAACGGTGTCGGCTGCGAGCCAAGTCCTGTAAAGGTCCGAGCCAACAAAAAGGTGAGATGGGCCGACGGCAAACAGTTTGGTCGTCAGTGACTACATTTCCCGCTGCCAAGGGAACTTTTGCCCACCCCGAGCCTTGCGCCACTCTACATCGGGCAGACAAAACAAGGCCCTCCTCGGTAAGCGGTGATCGGGCATACGTAGTACGTGACCAAGCTAACACAACTTATAAAAAATGCTATCTGTTGTTCCAAGGAACTAGCATGATTATCACTGACTAGTACTCGCCTACGCACCTCATCGTTGCGGACACGCTGGTGTCAACCAACACCAGCAATGTTTCACAGATAACGATTATCAAAGACTTGGAGGCGCGTCAGATCAACAGACCGAAGGGACCGTCTTAATCCCATAGATGAGGACGGCTTCCCTTTGGCTTTGTAAACACTGCCCTTCAGACGGAGGGAAACTCGTTTCTGCCGCCAAAGATGCCACAGGTTCAAAAAGGTAGTTCCGGATTTTGCAGTGCGTGAACTGACTTCAGTTTCTATGCGCCTATCGTTGCTGATGCAGCTGCCAAGGAAAGTGAATCGATGAACTACCTCGAGATCCTCGCCCTCAAGTGGCTGGTGGCCTTGCAGTAACACTGCACTTTGAAGGTGCGAAGCGCATGCCAAATGATGGGACCACTTCAGGGTTGATTCTTCCGCCGCAACAACAGCAAGGCGACATTGTCCGCATTATCGAGATAAACTAGCCTTTCACCAAGTAGAACCTTAAAGGCTGCATCGTGAGGCTCCGTAAGGGAACACTCCATGATGGAGTCCACGATAAAATTGAACAAAAATGGGGAAATTGGGCAACCCTGACGGAAAGATATCCAACAGATCACCGTAGACCCTGACGCGGCCAGTAGTGTTCGAGTATAGAGCAAGTAGAATGTTCACCTGTACCGTGGGAACACCTTTCCGTGCAAGTATTTCGTGCAGAATGCATCGATCGACTAAATCAAACGCGCCCTTGAAGTCAAGGGACACAGCTATTGTCGGCCTGTGGTATGCGTGGCGCTACTCTAGCACCTGCCGCAGAGTGGATATACGATCTATACAGCCACGTCCTGGGCGGAAACCTGTCTACTCTTCCCTAATCCGAGATTCGCGTTCCACAGTGAGGTGATGAACGACCAGCGTTAGGCTAATGCCTCTGTAGTTAACACAGTCTGTGTGACTGCCCTTTTTGTGGGTTGTCACTATAAACGTTAGTCCGAACAAGTTTCCCGTGCATGTTATTACAGCACTAGATGGCCATGCCGCGTTTTCACAAGGCCGGTTGCTGTTAAGACAAATGATATACGATGAGGAAAACGGCACCGATGTCTGGGCCATCGGATGCGTGGGTTTGTGTAGTGCGATTTCATGGAACGAAAGTGTCGAAGCGACCGATGGTGTCAAATGTTATATGCGCAGAGATGCAGCAGGTGTCATAGGGAAAAATGAGAAGACTACTTGACCAATGCCAAGCAACAAAAGTGGCATCAATTGGTTAGAATAGTGAACGCAACACTGTTGCTCTGGTAGTGTTCAACTGTGAACGATTGTACGCAGGATGAGATGTTGCTCGGTCTAAAAGTAAACCAGTCAACTCGCAGAACAAGTTAGCTTCATCATGCTAAAGTGGTAACCAAGCTCTTGCGAAAGCAGTACTCAGATCCGAGATGTAACGATTGCAATCCAAAAGTCGGGACAACTACACTACGGGCTACCTTGGAAATGTGTGAAGACGGTGCATTTTCACGCAGATTGAGTTAGAGGGGAGAAATAAGATTCTCAATAAGCAAGCTTCGCAATCATACTTTCATAAAAATGGTTTTTGAAAAATTAACGGAAGAAAAATGAAGAATTTCATAAAACAATAACGTTAATAAATGCCAGTGTAAATCTAACTTCGTTTAACTCTTCCTTAGTAAGAGTCACTCGGGGAACATCGGGTGCGAGTTGTGGGAAAATGGAGCCATTGATCCGTTTGGCTTCGGATGACTTTCTGTCATAACGAAGACAAAAGTCAGGGGCTTCCTGCAAACCAAAGGAAAAGCAAGACATGGAATGAATGATGAGAATAGAAAGTCATTCAGAGGACTAAAAAGCGGAAGCAACAATGCAGCCAGAAGCTGACACATAAACACATCTATTCAAGACACATATACTGGAATCGGTGCCAAGACAGTAGTTAAAATGCATGACTAGGATCACAAAAACGAAGGTTGATTGCCAGTTCATTTTAGTTAAACAACTATGATACGGACATCGAAGTACTATGGGCTGGGTTGTCATGGCTCACGTCGATAGAACAACAATCAATAACAATAGTATGAATTTGAGGTCAAACTCAAATAGAATCAAGAAAAAGTGCGTGAAGATAATCGGGAGGGAAAATTAATGACCAGATGCAATAAACCGAAAGGAGCAATGCCACCGCGCAACTGTCTCCAATCACTCGTGTGGACCATCCCGAAGCCCCATTCAGGCAGACGGCATGCACCAGCCTGACCAAATTTCCCAGTCAGCTTCCGCATGCCTTTAGGCCACGTTAGTGACTGGCTAACCCGCGGTTCTATCCAACTTGGTGCAGCAACGACGTATAATGCACACCGGGAGCAAACAGGGGACACGACCAAGGTTTCTAGCCAAAAACAACTGGCGAAGCGCAGTATTGCTCACCTGGCGTCCCCACCAGATGTGATTTATTGCCAGTATACTTGTGGCAAACATTAGCAACGGCATCACTGGTTAACAATGATGAATTCAGAATACGATAATTAATTATTTATTTAAGATTCCATGAAAACTGTTAACTGGCTCTCGTGTTGGAAATATTTCGGAAAAATAATTTCCAATGTTTAAGCATGTAGATTTATCCAATAGGACTGTAACAACATATTAGGTAAGTCTAGATGGATGTAATATTGCGAAACATTGTATGATACCATTATGCACACATCACAGTTTGTTGAATAATTTTCTGATGCATTAGCGTATTACTGCCAGCCTGCTGGCGAAGTAAGCTGGCGTCAGCGATATACTACGTAAGCCCCGTCGGGCACTGCTAAGATGGCGAGACGCCTGATAAGATTGTCACTCGCACGACTGAAGCACGCCTACGATAACGGCTTGGAACGCTGGCCAATCGAACCGATTTGCGCTGACGGGTACGCGCTGGTGAGACGGAAAATTGAGCGAGCGTGAGAACGGTCCTAGCCGCACGTATTCGGATAGATGCTGAGCCCTCGTAACGGACGAGGCTACGCATATGAGGGGGTGGGGGGTTACGGTAGACGCGCGCTAATGACTTAGACGAGAACGTTGCCCGGCTATCGACGCACGTAAAAATCACGTGATCGAACCGATTCGAACAACGGCGAAGAGAAAGCCATACAAGTGGTCCTCTGAAGGCGCTTTTACGACCAACAAAGGGCAAATCACAGCCAATGCTATGCGTCATTAAGTTAGTGAAAATAGATACCAAGAAAGGGTGGTAGATTGTAAAAGAACATTGTCAACCTGTGCGCAGTTGTGCCGCGTCTCGGAATGGCTGAAAACTGCTACGTCGTGGGAGGAATTGGACCACGCTTTCCATAGCCATTACGCCGGAGTTTGTGGCAGTTTTTGCGGGGACATTTGACGGCACGGCAACACCTTCCTTTGAAGAGAAAGCATACCGCTTCTGACGAGGATTGACCTGGAGAGATTTCGGAGACCTCCGAATGCTTCCTGTTCGTCGACAAGACGAGTTCTCCAAACACGGCGGCGATTGAACGGTTTCGACCGTGGTCTGTCGTTATGTAGCCAATCCAAAGGTATCCAAAAATATATGCAGCGGAAGGCGCACAGGAAGGCTGACTTGCGTGGAGGGTTATTCGTAGCGCGGTCGAAGTTGATTGCGATGGCGAACCAACGTGGCATCACCCACGAAGACATCATGAAGCATTTCACCTCGCCTGGCCGTCACTGTTGCTTTGATCCAGCGAGGATGATCTGCTCGGTAATCGCAAGCGTAGACCGGGGCTCCAAAGACGAATTCTTTATGCTTGGTGTAGGCATCAATGAGTAGGTGGCTTCTCAGTCGGAATGAGCGCTTTGTTGGTGGTGCGTAGCTTGCGGCCCATCAATGCTTCAGCTGGTGACTGGCATCCTGGCGTAGCTGGATTCGGCGTGGACCGGTACGAGAGCAGGAAGGCTTGAAGACACTCATCCACGGTCGCCTTCCCGCGAGATTTCGAAAGCGCCCTCTTGAAGGTGTCGACAAATCGCTCCGCTTGACCATTGGATTGGGGATGGTAAGGCGGTGAGCGTAGGTGTTCGATGCAGTGTCGGCGACAGAAGTCTTCGTAGAAGAGGTAAACTGGGTACCATTGTCGGACACCAAAACCTCGGGAAGGCCATGTTGACTGAAGATTCGTTGGAGACAACCCAGAGTGGCATCATCATCATCATTACACGTTAGCTGGAGGTGGAAAACACCTCAGCTATTGTGCCGCAATACAAAAGGCAAGAAAAGAAAAAAAACAAACAAACAGTGGCACGCCCGCTGAGTCCCCAGTAACGGATGGACATCGTTCCGGAGAGCTAACAGCTGGCTGCCGTAAAAGAAAGTCATATTATGCCTAACGATTGAGATCGTGATTGGAGGGGGATGCTAAACAGGAGGGGGATGGACAAAGGAACTCACAACACAAACGCCATTGGGGCCGGCTCCTAGCCATATCAGCAAGTGTGTCCAGCCAAACGTGTTCACCGTCCTTAGGACCCCAGCCAGGCAGTCGGGATGCACCAACCGACGCCAACTTCGAAGTGAGGGTTTTCATTTCTCGCGACCAAGTCATCACTTGGCCTCCCCTCCTCCTCTTCCAACCGCACCCACAACGCGCAAACAATGCACGTCGCGGGAGTCGGTGTGCTTGCATGCGCAACACGTGGCCCAGCCATCGGAGCCTGGTGCGTGATATAATCGTGCTGAGCGGTTCACTCGCTCTTCCTGCACCAAATACGCGACGTCGAACACGCTCATTGCTCATGCGGTGTTCCCACCAGACATGAGCTAAGCTGCGAAGGCAGCGATGATCGAACGTGACGAGTCTCTTCATGTCTGTCGACCTGATGGGCCAGGTTTCACAGCCATATAAGAGAGTTGAACGGACGGCTGCGTTGTAAACTCTGCCCTTGAGGGCGAGAGTAATGTCGCGTCTGCGCCACAGGTGGCGGAGATTGGCAAAAGCACCTCGAGCTTTTGCTATACGGTTCGTAACCTCATCTTCAATCCCACGGGTGCTAATATAGCTGCCCAGGTACTTGAATTCCTGAACGACTTCTAGCAGATCACCACCAAGCGTTAGCGCAGGATTGGGTCCCTGCCAATCTTGGAGAAGTACTTTGCATTTTGATGGAGCAAAGCATAGCCCAAAACGACTGACAGCCAGTGCTAATCGGTTCAGTGCTGTTTGGCATGTTTGGGAGCCGTCACAGATTAGGGCAATATCGTCTGCATACTCCAAGTCAAGAAGTCGCTCACCAGGGAGTAGCTCCACACCTTCTAGGTCGTGTCCAGCGAACGCTGTTTCCATGACTTCATCAATAGCGAAGTTGAAGAGGAAAGGTGACAGCGGGCATCCTTGTCTCACACCGCTGGTGATACTGAAGGGTGGCGAGAGTTTGCCATAAACCCTCACCCTGCCCGAACTATGTGCGTACAGCGCTTTGATAATGTTTACATATTTATCAGGCACACCTTTCCTCAACAGACAGTCCCAAAGGGCACATCGATCGACTGAGTCGAAGGCACCTTTTATGTCAAGAAACACGACAACGGTGGGTCGCCAATAAACATGGCGGTGCTCCAACACTTGACGCAATGTGAAGATGTGGTCGATGCAGCCCCGACCTCGACGAAATCCGGCTTGCTCTTCACGAATTTGGCTTTCACGAGTGCCAGTCAGTCTGTGGAGAATGAGAGAGGCAAGCAATTTAGAGGCAATCGAAATCAGACTGATCCCTCTATGATTGCCACATACCAAACGGGAGCCTCCCTTGAAAATTGGGACAATGACGGAGCGGTTCCAGTCTGTCGGGACTGTCTCCTGCTCCCAAAGTTTTACTAGCAACTCGTGTAGATCACCTATTAGAGCAGGTCCACCGAACTTGAAGAGGGCTGGAGGAATAGTATCTGCTCCTGCGGCCTTATGCAATTTCAACAGCCTGATCTCACGTTCGACTTCTGCGCGTGAGGGCGGATCCAAGGAGACGGCCCAAGGAGAAGGGCGCTCAATGCCCGAAGAAAGTGATAACTCAGGTTGGTTAAATTGCATAGCAAAGTGTTCAGCCCAACGCTCCAAGCGTTTTGACAGGCTGTGGATCATCTGCCCACTCTCGTCGCGTATGGTCTCGCTAACACCAGGTCTCCTGCTGCCTGTTGCCCGTATCAGACGGTATAACTTACGATGATTACCAATGGCAGCGGCTGTTTCCATCTCAGAGGCACGATGAGACCACCAGGTTTCGCGGTCCTTCTTTAGGCTAGCACGTAGTTTCGCCCTGAGATTTTTGCGAGCTTCATTGTATTCGCTTCCAGCCGGAATACGTCGGCGAGCATCCATAAGTTCCAGAGACTGTGTAGAGACCCAATGTCCGGTTTTGCAATTTGTTTTGCCACATGAAGATATGCCTGCTAATAGCAACGCTTGACGAGTGTGCGACCAGTGATCTTCAACGGTGTTTAGTGGGCGCTTACTCAGCCCAGATGTCAGCGCATCTTGGTACACATTCAGAACATCTGGCTTCGCCAGCTGGCTAGTGTCAATCCGTTCACATCGACGTCGCGGACGTCCACCGAAACGCACCAGGAGGTCGGCACATACAAGTGCGTGGTCAGAGTCCACGCTCGTGCTCCAAATCGAGCGACAGTTTTGGACACAGCCTCTCCAGCGGTAACTGATCGCGATATGATCGATTTGCGTCCATGACTGGCCCGAGGCTGGTGGCCGCCAAGTCACACTTCTGCGGATGCTGTGTCGAAAATTAGTGCTCGCGAGAAACAGGCGAGCATCTTCACACAGCTGGAGCAATCGCTCACCATTATCATTACGGGAGCCTACACCATGTTGGCCGCCCAGATGAAGCTCATCAGAGGACAATTTTCCGACTTGGGCGTTTAGATCGCCAGCCAGCACCACAGTATCCGTGCTTCTTCTGTAACGAAGGAGCTCGTGAAGTTGCTGGTAGAAATCATCTTTTACCGAATCAGTGCTACAGTTTGTAGGGGCGTAGGCCGCAATGACAAACAGGCACCTTTTGTCCCCGCGCGACTTCGAAGCACGGAACGAGCCAGCTAATCTAACGGCGCACATCCTACTGTTTACTGGGATCCAATCAAGCAGGGCAGCTTCAGCCCGGGGACTCAAAACAATGCCGACGCCGGCTTGACCGGCATTTGAAGCTGCATCATCGCCAGATAGGCGCAATGAGAATGTGCCGCCAGTGTCGCATGTGGGGGATCTCAGGGTAAGCACGGAGCTCGAATCTTGCAGGCGGGTTTCTGATAAACAGCAAATATCGATCGATAGGGTCTCTAGTGTGCGGGCAAGTGCTGCCTGTTGGCCAATCTGCAGCAAAGTGCGCACGTTGAGGCATGCCAATCTTAGCGAGACACGAGGACTCCAAAGGGAAACGGATGAACTGACGTTGTCCGCTTGGTTGAACATGGACTTATCGACTGGATTGGAGCGAGGCCTTGCGATTGTGTGTGATTTGAAATTAGAAGACAAGCGACTATTGAAGTAAGCTGGGGGAGGGCCAAGAATTGGGGGATTGAAAATGGGGGGGATATAAGTAAAGTTGGAGCGGGACAATAAGGATGCAGAAGCGCAAGAAGGGGTATAAGAAGACGGGAAGGCCTGAGCAGTAGCATCCAAACCCCTATCCACCCTGCTCGATGCAGCAGATAGGGCGCCGTTTATTATCCTCTGCGACGGCCAGAGCATCAAGAAATTGTTGTAGGAAAGGTTCATTGTATTGCGTGGGCAGAATACTGTCAGGTTGCCCAGGCCTAGACAGGAGAACGATTAGGGTTCTCAACCAAAGCCTTTGGTTCAAAAACCTTACCGCAAGGCAGCGGGTTTTGGCACTGGACTACAGGACCCGTTTTATGAAATGAGGAGCCATCCCCATTCCAACCCCCAACCTGGAGGACCAGGAGGCTGAGTTTGTCTGGCCTCTAACCATTGACCAATCTGGTATGAGTGGCTCTAAAGGTGCAAAAAAAAGCACCACCCAGCATAGCTCAATGGATCTCTGAGGCACGCAAACCATCGCACCACGGTAAGGTCCAGCCTCATTGCGATGGACCCAGAGTGGCGGATGCGGTTGGTGGGTTGACGGCGACCACTTCTGGTCATTTGGATTAGGCGTCGACCATGACCAGATAGGAAAATGCCATCGATAGGACCAGCGTAATCGATGTGCACTCGAGACCACGGTTTTGCTGGCGGATGACAAGAAATAGGTGATTGGTGTGGTGGCATCTTTGAGGCTTGTGGACAATCCTGGAGCACAGGGGTGAACTGACTGCCTTTATCGTCGGTTCGGTCGTTTGGTACTGTCGGAGAATGTACTACGTTGCAGATGACCCGAAGAGGAAGATCGGCCAAG